ACCGGTTATACAGAATTTCAGGGAAACTTAAGTCACCACCGATGTTTTCCTGTAAATCTCGTGTGACTCGTGTGAGTTTGTTGCGCTCATCATGCGGTGTGAATAAACTAGTGCAAGATTTTCTACCTGCCCACAGATGCATGAACTGAGACCAATTTTTTCCGTAGAGAACATAGTGGTTTTTCTTTACATTGGGAAGAGGCCCGAATTTGTCTCTTTTCCCTCTGGCACTGCCCCAAGTTTCAAGTTGCAGTTTCAGTAGACACACCTACTAACAGGTACAAACTGCTCTAAAGCAGGTAAAAGACTGGGAATCCAGGACGGTGCGGACACCGTGTTTTGCGCTTCTCGCAAGGTGACTGATGCTTTTGCGAGGTATGCGGAATATGCAAACGATTTTGTTATGCCCTTCGTTTCCGTCTCCAGAAAACAGAATAAGATTATTTACAAATTTAGGCGCAATCACAAGCCAAGATTTACGATAACAGTGCGTTCGCTTCGGTGGTCCGTGTAGTGGTATTATACGCTGCTTTCTGCAACACCGTGTCATGACGAAGAGCTGGAACGGTCACGGTCTGTGCTGGGCTAGCGGTTGACAGAAACCCGCATCGCCCCCATCGGCACCGAGTGCACTTGGGCTGTTGATGCTCGAGCCTTTCATACGCGGCTTGTCGCCAGCTGATCCTGCTGCTTGACGGTGAGGAAGCGGCGAGTGTGACCTCTGAAGTAAATGTAAATCCTCGTTCATCCAGTTATCCAGTGTCAAAGTGTGGAAGATGTCCAACGTGTACTGAGGGCGGGAACTACGAGCGTTTTGCCTTGCTTTTATAACCGAAACCAGAGCAGCGAGATAATTGCCTTGCGTACTCCAAAATGACGCAAGCAATAAGTTTCAACAGGTCGAGTACGTCACCGCGGATGTAGGCAAAACTGTGCACTGTTTAAACGCTTGCAGTATACACGAGTGCTACCAGAAAAACGACGTCAACAGAGAAGGAGCTCGCGATTTTAGCATAATGCAGTGCCTAGGGCTCGTGAATTTTCAATGTGGCTATATAGAAATATTAAAAAAAAACAAAAAAAAAACGCATCAGCGCCACATTAATGATCACGAATAACACCGGTCACAAACTCCCAAGCCTCACCGCTTCGCTCGACACCAACACGACATACGACAACAATCTGCATCAAAACGCCCCAAAAGTGAAGGCGTCTGCTCCCGTACGCGTACTACAACTAGCGGAAGTGAAGTGTTGGGCGGATGTCCTTCACAATAATATATATAAAAAATGCCTTGCGCAAGTATAATTTCCATTGATTATTGAATACGTACTGATAAAATCCCAATCATTTGTTTTTCTATCTGATTCAAGCGAGTCGGAATGCTCATAACACTGGTCGAGCATGAAAATAACAAAAATTTGAACTTTTTCATGGCCGGTTTAAGATTTATTGTTAGTACATCGTTGTTTTTCGCAAAGGACTAATTTTACAGATTTTGCCCCCATACTTTTTAAATGCAAACAGTTCTTACATACGGCTGTCCATTTTGCCGTGTTTTGTGGCTTCTTCTATAAATCGGTAACGGTCAGCGACCAAAGAGCTCACCCGTACATGTCAAGCATATATACGCCGCGGGGAGAGTCCGTTGTTAGTAGGAAGTGTCGGGCGTAGTGTCGGTGTTGTGTTTATGTATGTGTCGCTGCTGTGTCCTACGTGGTGCTCGTGTTGTCTGTGATGTATGTAGAGTAGCAGTCTACTCGTGATAGTTCCCAGCGTATTAACCGACTCCTGCTTTTTTTTTCATTGGTTGCTAGAAATCGCACTAGGTGGCGCAAGTTACCGCCCGATTACAAGAGTTCGCTTGAGCTATTTATCCATGTAAGTTCAATATTCGTTTTTTTGTTTTTGTTTTTGTTTTTGTTTTTGTTTTTGTCTATCGGTTTTGTCGTAGCTGCCGACGCCACCGACCGCCGACGATGTACGTAGGTACCTTTGCACGTAGCTACGTCCGCCGCTCGGAGACTGTTTTCTGTGCATAAAAGACATCGAACGAGAACGAACGCGTCCTGTATGCTTTCAGTTCGGCTGAAAGGCGCGGCTGGCTGGGCTCGTCCCTCGCCTGTTCTAGGCTGCTGGCCGCCATGTTTCATAAGGAACACGTTGAACCGTGCTTCTCGGAAGGCAAACACGGTGTAGCGTGTTAACTTTACACAGCACCTCATGTGTAGACGAAAAACACAGATGGCTCCGTGTAAAACGAACACGTTTCGACGCGTCCGCTATGGGACAACGGTTTACACGTCTGGGCGTGTTATTTTTGCTAACAGTGTAGTAGTAAACTCAATGTTGTCCGAGATGGGGGTTAGGCAGGTGGGCCTGCCGTCCTCTTCTTCCTCAGGCGGCGGCCAGGCCCTTCGTTTTGGCGGCGACTTCGGCCATCTGGACGACCCGGAGTTGGATATCCGGGTCTGAGTTAAGCAGTGCAGCCTCCCACTGGTCTGGAGTGGTGATGGGAAGTGGAGGTTTTGGCGGGATGCGTTTTTAAGTACTTATCAGGGGGCACGTCCACATGATGTGTTGAAGATCGACCCTACCTGCGCATAACTTTCAATCGGCTGTCCATAGCCCAGGATACAGGTCACTGGGTTTGGGAAAGTGTGCGTTTGTAAAAGGCGCCCGGTAACTGATTGCGTTTTACCTAAAGCTTTAATGAGAGGCGGGGTAATGCCTAATGCCATGTTGGTAGTATTGTAAGATTTCCTTGTAGGACACCATACGGTCCTTACCTGAACGACGAAGAGTCTTGAGCTGCTCATGATGAGAGGGTATCGTGCGGCCGCGGATGGCGAGTTCTCGGGTCGCACTGAGGACCTTTGTTTCTCGGAAACCGGAGTGCGCCGCTGCCCAAACGAGTTGTGTCCATCTGCGCCGGGTTTTGGGTACCTTCGCCAAACGTTTTAGGGCATCGGGCGTAATGCGCCCTTTCGCGAAATTTCCTATGGCTCTATTTCAGACGCTGAATGAAATTGGCCGCGGATGAGGAATACGCCAAGGCAATTGCGACCACCTCCCCGACCTCCGGCGAGGTTGTAATGACTGAGTTTGCAGCGTTTCTTTGATTTTGTTGATCAAGTACGGCCACTGCTATGGTGTCTAGATTATTATACTCGGCCGCGTCTACATGGGCCACGTCTTTAGGATATGCGAAGCGTATGTGTATGGCTCTGACTCTTTCCTGTCTGCGCCCTTGGTTGTGCAGAAGGTGGGTGTTCTCTGAGCTTTCTGAGCTCTGTGGGAATGCCCTGCTTTTGTCCCAATTGGCTGTTGCATGCAAACCCGAGTGATTGGAGAATGCACTGTCCACTCGAGTCTCCGAAAGTTTCTCCAGTTGGGAAATTCTTTTAGCTGCTCTGATCTCGTCAAGAGTATTGTGTATGCTGAGAGCCTCAAAAGTTTCTCCTGCGGTGTCGCTTGTAGGCTCTCTTGATCATCAGGTTAATTTTGGTACGTTCATCACTTTTTAGTTACAGGAATGGGGTAGCGTAGACTATTATATTTATGATGAAAGCCTGTACCAGTCCGAGTAGATTAGTTGTTTTCATGCCGTGGTATCTGTTGGTGATTTGGTATAAAATGTGCTTGGCGTATTTTCATACCAGAACACCCTGACCGGCGATTTCTTGATATGGTCCCATTGTGACCGTACCGAGCGTTGGTGTCACCACCTTCCGCTGATGGAACCCCTCTAGCATCAGACAAAAGATGTCAAATCCGAATGATGTCACCAGCTTTTTTCTAGCTAGAAGCTTAATTTGCCATTACAAACAACTTTATATTGAAAAAAAAATTGGTCATGAAAACACATAAAGGTGGTCGCACTTATGGCTATTCATTTGGTCTCTTGTTGGCATTCGTTGACTGCGTTTTGCTCGTGCTTGCTTCCTGTCCTGTTTTTGGCCCCTTGCCTCCAAGTCTGAAATCGGTATAGCTTCACCCTGGATTGTGACGATCCCTACGTAGTTCCGTAGATTGTTCTGGTGACAAATATTTCCGAAGGTTGAAAAAAGTATTTGAGATACTGACTACAATATAATGAAAAATGTAATTAAGATAGAGTAGCAAATACTCTGGACAAAATGAATGTGCGAACTACCGAAAATGCACTAAAAAGTATTTGAAATACAGTATATTGAGAAGAGTACTTAAGAAAGGCAGAAGTTTGCTTGTGCTGAGTCCAGCTGGGTTATCTCCAGTACACGGTCGAGGAACACTCAGAGCCCCACTGTTGTTTTGTAGCTTGTTTTGAGTCCTCGTTGTTTCCCTCCGGGATGCGGCCTACGAACACTCGCAGTTCCGCTTATGTTTCTTAGCTTCCGCAGCGTCCAGGTTGGTTTTCTTTCCTTTATTTCCCGGGTGCTCCTCGCCCGGCTGCCGAACGTCCACCTTCGACCACCCACGTCCTATCTCTGCTTCCTCTCCATAGCCACTGCATTTCTTTTCTTTTGCCGAAAAATTCCTCAGCTCCCCCAAGGTCAGAGCCAGCCGACATCGAAAGTCCAGCGGCTCCTCTACCGGTTCCCATGGGATAGCGCTCGCAAGACTCCCTGAAAGCAGGTTCGCGCTCTTTCCCCTTCAAACCAATCCGCCACGACGCTATGCTGTGTGAACAGGTCCTCATACCGCTACGCTCAAGCCTGTAAACAGTGTGACCGGGATGATGGCAGTTTTATCAAACATGTGAGCAGGTTTCAACTGGCCCGCCACATCCATATGCGGTTTGAACAAGTCCGCATATTGCTACACTCAAACCTATGAACAGTTTGACTATATATGGCCGAATAACAGTTTGAACAAACCGGTGGGCAGTTTGGTTATAGTGCTAAACGAAGGCTCGAACCTGCTACCTGTATTGTTGAACGAGCAACGGTATGAACCGGTTTGAATTTCAAACCGTTCTGTTCTTTAGTAGGGTGTGATCTTGTCGAAAGAGAATTTACCTGCCAAGGCACGCCCCCGAAGACAATCATGAGGAAGCTGTCCACGTAGCTGGGGACTTGCCATGGAGCCATGGTTCCGAGCCACTGGTCAGGCGACAGGCTGCCCAGGGGCTTCACGTGATCGTTGCTCAGGGCAAATGGAAGGGTGACCCACTGGAAAGCGGCGAAAATGTTGATGGTAATCAAATTTCAAAAAACTTTCATAGTGCACCAAATAATAATATTTATCTTTATTGGCTCAGGAGAGCCACGGCACCACAGAAAGGCAACAGCACGTACCACAGAGGCCCGTGGTGCCGGGTCTAATGATGGCGATTATGTGGTGATACAGTATGCAAAAGTGATGGTGATTAGCATATTATATGCTGAAATTTCCTTTCCTATGTTGAAAAAGAAATGGACGTTGAGTAATAAAAGAGATGAGGAAGAAGAAGTTTGGATCGAGGGTCCGGCAGCGTGGAACGTACATATGACGTAAATGCTGTAAAAGAAACATAGTTTATTTATACAAAAGCACAACCAGGCGCCTCAGTCTAGCGTTGCACATCTTGGAGCCGAAACCAGGGATTAACTCAGTTGACAATGTTTTGATTATCGGACTGACGAGCCGAGGCTCATCGAGCAACCTAACGGAAACTTACTAGTTTTCAAAAGGCAAGAACTTCTTGAACGACTGACATCTCTCGATAAACATCAATCAACGACAAAGAACGTTAACGCAGCGCTTCACTTAGCACTGAGAAAATCTTTTACACAACTGGAGATTTACATTTCACAATGAATAGAACGTCAAAACAAGACTATGCCCAGAAACAAAGCAACGGACATTTTGAGTGACATGGATTCAACATTTTTGGATCAAACGTAAATCACGAAACTGAATTAAATGACAGAGCATTTAGGTAGAATATGAAGATTCGGCTGCCCACTTTAGACACAGATATAGAAGCTCTAGTTCCAGACAAGGACATCGACGAAGAATATACACGAAGCCTCGTGTACAGCGACCATCACAATCCATCTCATCAGACTGAATCTCTTGCACCAAGTAAAGTAAGGATGCAAGAAAAGAACTAATGAATCATATTCGAGAATCACGCAAACAAGGACATATGACATAGAAAACACAAACAGAAATATCGAGAGCGAAACGATGTAAATCAGCATGGCTTCAAAGAACGAGAACACACCTGCTTTAGATGGCAACGCTGTGTTTGCCATGAACGAATTAGAATGTAAAGCGACCACATCGAAACACGACAACGAAAACACAGAAATTGCTCATATTGCTAGTGATGTGATTGCTGCGCCAATCGCGCCAAACTGCGCTAAGGGGCTAACCCTGCTCCATCCTGCTACATTTTGCCGAAATATAGGCAATCTGCGCCAAGCCTGCGCAAAAAAAAAAAAAAGAAACAATTTCGGTTGCCTTTGGAAACCGAAGCTAAACTGAGGACCATACTTGAGCGTGTATGTGTTATGTGGCGCAAGTGGCCGTCCCACAAAAAGCACCATGCATCAATTGCCTACCCGGTCTTGCATGGATTTCCAGCCATCTCGCGTTTCGCGCTCTCGTCGCCTGGTCGGTCTTGTCCAACGCCTTTTGTTAAAATATTTTTAACGATAGACGCAGGTGTGTGAGGACGCTCCGACGCTAGCGTGTTGGATACCAGCCATGCCCTCATGCAATGAAACGAAACCACGTTTTTGAGCGGCAGAATTACTTTGTGAGCTGAAGCACTCGCCTCTGAAAGCAACGGCCGTGGGAAAATTATGTTTGGTCCCTGCCTTCTAGTCACCAGAGTCGCTCGACGTCAGGTGTTACCGTGCCCACGTCGCTATAGATATAGCGCTTTCTAAATTGAAACTAAGTACCGCCGCATGTTTCTCAACATTTCTATTCTTGTTTAAATCATCCCACTTTAACTCAAAGACTGCGGTGTCGAAGTATGGATTACCTAGGTTTCCCACGGTGGGCTTTCTTTCGAGATGAACCCTTGTACATGAAAAATCTGCCGCGAAAGAAAGTTGGTGAAGAGAAGTGAGCTTAAGCAAATAAGGCAATTTCCGCACGCTGAATCCCCACAGCGCGCGTGTTAGTCTCGAGTTCATTCGTTGCACAAAGCGCTCCAAGAACTTTTCGACTCTGGCTCGCAATGTCCTGCATCAATGCGCTTAGGTAGTTTTTTTTTTTTTTTTTGTGTGCTTATCTTGTACCTTCTTTGGCGGCTTCGCAAGCACACGCCGCTGGACCGTTTTTTGTCATATGCTTGACAGTTACATTTTGCATACGATTTTGGGAATTAGTTGGCAACAGAGCCGAGTGGCACGGTTTCGGTCTCGATCGAACAGTTGTCCCGCTCGCTCGACGAAGTACGCGTAACTGCAAACCTGCCGAAGTTGCCCTTACATGAATGCAAACATGATAGCACGACAGAGGCACCAGCCGGGACGCTTGGAATCCACTGTTTCACGTTTGCTTACTTTTGACGAAACTCTGGCACGTCGGTAGCCAGTAAAACGGTGGAAATCGTTTTTTTAGAATTGCTCGGCAATGCATACAACACTGTATACTTGTGAGATGTCTCAGCAGTAAAAACACAAGTAGCAAGTTACATCACAACACGTCACATCAGAACATAACACAGCACAAAGTGCCGGTTGTTTGTACAGCGCTTAAAACGACTATTGTTTTATTTGTGAGAATACCTGCTCCAAAAGGCAAATTTGAAGCTCCGAAACACTGCCTTGGCTGCTCCAAAAGTCACTTTTCCTGCTCCAAAACACTGTTTTAATTGCTCCAAAATCTACCTTTGCTGCTCCGAAACACAGTCTGGGTTGCTCCAGAGGCCACATTTTCTGCTCCAAAAAGCTGTTTTGGCTGCTCCTAAAGGTGCTCGAAAATGGCTGTGGCCAATCATATCACTGTATTGCGCACAATCATCGTAAACCAAAAAAATGCCCTTCCTTGGAGCTTTACTTGAACCACAAGACTTTATCAACAAAAACAAAATGTCCGAATTTAACTTTGAACACAACAGACTTGGCAAACAGGTTAACTTGGCGAGTTGGTATGTATTTATGATGGAACAGCGCGAATTTTACAATGACAGAGGAAGAAACAGAACAGGACGAGCGTGGTCCTGTCCACTTCCTGTCTCTGTCCTCGTAAAATTCGCGCTGTTCCATGATGAATATAATGAGATGCTTAGCCATGATACTCAACGAGTGACGAAAACGTTTTACCCCAAGTAAGGTCAAGCGGCCACGCCTCACGACAGAGTTTATAAAAAGCTGCAACAAGAGGAGGTTCACCTCTAATCTGTCGTCGAAGTCAACAGCGAGAAACGGAAGCGGAAAAAAATGAAGGAGATTTAGAAGTTACAGCCAGCGAAATTAACAAAAGTTAACAATGATTTTGACAAAAATTGAAAAGCAACAACTCAACATACACATGAAATATAAGAAAAAACTCGATAATTTTTTTTTAATATTTCATGTGTATGTTTATGTGTAGCACGAGATTGTTGAAATTCCTTCGACGCGTTGAAAAAAAGAAGGAAGTTGAGTAGTAAGAGAGAGAGAGAGAGAACACATCTTTATTGACCATCAGTTCAGGGTGTCAAAGTGGTGTCTAGGAGGACGCCATTCAGAAGGGTGAGGATAGGTGGATTATGGGAAATTGGTGGCGTCTTTCGATGGCCCTCAGCTTCTCCTCGATCGTTGTGATGCGGTGAAGAAGGGCGTCGAAGATGGCGGGTACGTGTTGGTGATTTGTGGGAGAGAGCCACTCTTTCCTTATCGTAGGCCGGAGCCCGGGAGGGAGCTTGGAAAGTGTAGAGAGGATGGATGGTTGTGCATGGGAGGCATTGCCAGTAGGTGTGCGTGTTGTTTGGGTAGGCAGTGCAGAAGGGACACTTAGCTGTGCCCTGATCACCTTGGAAGAGATGAGTATAGTGTGGGGAGGATAGCGTGTGGGTCTGTGCTCGGCGTAGAGTGCTGGCCTGTTGTCGGGAGGGTGTGGGAGGCGGGGGTACGAAGGCGAGTCTCGATTCGCGGAGTTGCGGAGTGTGTCAGAGCGCTGTTGGTATGTTTCATTGCACTGGACCATATGACGTAGGCCAGTAGATCGCAGGTACCGGAGTGGAAGTCACTCCAGAAAGTGAATGTGCTCGTTCATTGCCTGGGATTAGAGCGTAACTAGGGATCCAGTAGATGTAGAAGCCAAAAGGGGGGGGGGGGGGGGGGGGTTGTGGGCGGCTCGAAGCTCGCGCGATATGTAGTTAGGGAGGAGGTTGTACTGAAATATGCTGACTGCCTTTTGGGAACCTGTCAGAACAGTGATGGAGGTGTGTCCCTCGTGGGGTTTGGCGACGCCATGGTGAATGGCGGAGCACACCGCCTGAGTCTTCAAGAGGTCTGCCGAAGGCGATTCGGTGTGTTCGCCTGAGCATTGTTTGGTCTGGGGACAGTGAATTGAGGTGCGGTCGAATTTTATGCTACGGTCGTAGCTGGCGTCTGTGTAGTAGATGAGGCACCGCTGTGCCTGAAGTGTGGCGAGTTTTGGGGATATGAGTTTGGCTCTGTGCTTGCGGCGTTCCGATTTACTGTCGGGATTCATGTGTTTGGGTATGGGGAGCGTGGTTATTTGGGGCACGGTATCCCAGGGCGGCGTTTGTTTCGATGGGAGGGAAGTGCATGGTGTTGTAACCGAGGGAGTGGAGAATGTAGAAACCCTGCAGGGGCGTGGTTAGCTGTTGCTGTTGACCCAGTCGGTGCAAGTCGACTCGCTCCTCGAGTGTGTTGAAGGGTTCCATCTGTTGTAGGTGCTCAAGGGGAGCGTACTGTTGAACGCCAAGAGCAAGGCGGGTGTGTTTGCGGAGCTGTGTCTGGAGGTGTTTAGTTGACGGTTAGTCACCGGGGTGTAGGGGATATGGTAGAGTACAAGAGAGTAGATGAGAGCTTCGATGGCTCGTCTCATGTCGCTGTCTTTGAGGCCTTTGTGGCGGCAAGAAACACGGCCGAGGATGTGTCTGATTCGATTTATCTGTTTGGAGAGGGTCTGAATGGTGACATCGTTTGCACTGTTGTTTTGGATGGTGGGGCCTAAAAGCTTGATGTGCGGGCGTTGGGGTATGGGAGTGCCGTCGAGG